CCACCTACTATACCTAGAGTATCAGCATGGACCCACACTACCACCAACACATACTTCATCTATAGTATAAGCATGGCCCCACACTACCACCACATACTATACCTAGAGTATCAGCATGGCCGCACACTACCACCAACACATACTTCATCTATAGTATCAGCATGGCCCCACACTACCACCATCTACTATACCTAGAGTATCAGCATGGCCCCACACTACCACCACACATACTTCATCTATAGTATCAGCATGGCCCCACACTACCACCACATACTATACTTAGAGTATCAGTATGGACCCACACTACCACCAACACATACTTCATCTATAGTATCAGCATGGCCCCACACTACCACCACATACTATACCTAGAGTATCAGCATGGACCCACACTACCACCACATACTATACCTAGAGTTTTAGCATGGCCCCACACTACCACCACATACTTCATCTATAGTATCAGCATGGCCCCACACTACCACCACACATACTTCATCTATAGTATCAGCATGGCCCCACACTACCACCACATACTATACCTAGAGTATCAGCATGGACCCCTACACCACCACCAACACATACTTCATCTATAGTATCAGCATGGCCCCACACTATCACCACATACTATACTTAGAGTATCAGCATGGACCCACACTACCACCAACACATACTATACCTAGAGTATCAGCATGGCCCCACACTACCACCAACACATACTTCATCTATAGTATTAGCATGGCCCCACACTACCTCCACATACTATACTTAGAGTATCAGCATGGCCCCACACTACCACCACCACATACTATACCTAGAGTATCAGCATAGCCCCACACTACCACCAACACATACTTCATCTATAGTATCAGCATGGCCCCACACTACCACCACATACTATACTTAGAGTATCAGCATGGACCCACACTACCACCAACACATACTATACCTAGAGTATCAGTATGGCCCCACACTAACACCACATACTATACTTAGAGTATCAGCATGGCCCCACACTACCACCACCACATACTATACCTAGATTATCAGCATGGCCCCACACTACCACCACACATACTTCATCTATAGTATCAGCATGGCCCCACACTACCACCACATACTATACTTAGAGTATCAGCATGGACCCACACTACCACCACATACTATACTTAGAGTATCAGCATGGCCCCACACTACCACCACCACATACTATACCTAGAGTATCAGCATGGCCCCACACTACCACCACACATACTTCATCTATAGTATCAGCATGGCCCCACACTACCACCACATACTATACTTAGAGTATCAGCATGGACCCACACTACCACCAACACATACTTCATCTATAGTATAAGCATGGCCCCACACTACCACCACATACTATACTTAGAGTATCAGCATGGCCCCACACTACCACCACATACTTCATCTATAGTATGAGCATAGCCCCACACACTGTCACCGCACACTTCATCTACAATTTTGCAATTCTGCTTTCCATATATTGCAGAGTTTCAAACCATTTTTCACATTTAGCACCGTTCATAATTACTTTAAATTACATTACATTATTTGGACTCAGCTCCATCTCTGTCTGAATAATGAATATATCTTGACATACAGGCAGGCAGCCAATGAGGGGGATGAGCTCTTCCTTAATCTGTATTTTGTGGCTGACTGCAAGTTCTCTGTATTATTATTATTTGTATAGAGCCAACATATTACACCGTGCTTTACAATTATAGAATGGGGATCTCTGACAAGTAATTTATATATGGAATATAACAGAGACAAGAGGTGAAGAAGGCCCTTCTCCAACAATCTAACAGTCTATGAGGAAGGGTAAAGACAGACAAGACAAATACCAGCATGTCAGAGGGATAGGGATTGATGGATTAGATCCTGTGCCAGTTAACCTGATGTGTAGAACAAGCGGCCAGTGGAGGGAGTAGGTTTTGCAGGCGAGGGATCTGATGAGGGCAGTGAATGAGAGAAACGTCACCCAGGGAGAAGGATTTCCTAAACAGCTGTGTTTTCAGTCACTTCTTAAAGGACTGGAGGCCAGGGAGAGTCTTATTGCACGGGGTTAGCAAATTCCAAATGAATGGGGCAGCCCCGTAAAAAAATCCTGCAGATTAGAGTTGGCAATGCGGGAACCAGCAGATATCAGGAGAAGGTTGTTTACAGAGTGAAGGGAATGAAAAGGGGTGAATTTATTGAGTAAAGAGGAAACGAGCAGTGAGGAGCGGAGTTAGTGGGGAGCTTTATAGGTCAGTTAGCAGTTTGAATCGGATCCTGAAGGCTACAGGAATACAATGTAATGATTGGCAAAGGGGTGGGGTGTGGGTTGGAACTGGCTTGTGCTGAATTCCTTTAACCCCTTAAGGACACAACTTCTGGAATAAAAGGGAATCATGACGGAATATTTCTGTCATGTGTCCTTAAGGAGTTAAATATGTGCAGATGTGTGAGTGTATATATATATAGACACTTTGGGAGTTCAAAGTGGATTTTATATTTCTAAGGCTAAATGGCCAAATTAAAACATAGCTTACTTTTTCTACTTAAATTCACACGTTAGTGAAATACCAAACGAGTGTTAATTGATAGCAGTGCATTCTCCTTAAAGAAGGAACCTTGAATGCCAATTTGGTAACGCGCCCATTCATGACGTATCATAGACAAGATTATTCATTAATCTGATATGACCTGTATACGTAATTTTGGAAAAAGTGCTATCTGGGTAATTTACCAACTCAGCTATTAAGGGATAAAACGTGCACATCTCAATTATCAAAAGTGTACAAATTGTATATGGTCATTAAAATAGTCCTATTTTTGTAGCCATTGCTTCCATCCATGGACAAATTAAGGTTTCAGAAAAGGCGTGTCTGACTGGCCAATCACGCCGGATGAAAGTTTAATTTATAAATCCACTACCCCATCTGTAAAAGCAGATATATTCGCATTACTATTTATACTTTCTCCCTTTCCTCTAATTTGTTCCCCTGTCCATGACTCCATCCTGTGTATCATTCTTGGATTTGTTTTACTTACAGTCTGGTTATTGATCACTTTCTGTCTCTTTATCTTCCAGTTGGATGTCTGGTGCTTTTGCCCCTCATTCAGTTTGTCATCTCCGTCCTTGATAGGAGTGGTTGGTAGATACTCAACGTTGGGCCATCCCTGAAGTTCTTCTCCATCAGTCCATCTACATTCCATGTTGCTTCTCAGCAGTCGATCGGTTACGAGTGAAGATTCTTCTTTCTCTCATTGCGTTTATTTTAAATCATGACTTAGAGTATTAAAAAAAAAAATAACAACAAATATTTCTTGTGTCTCATTAAAATAAAGTTTGTTGGAAGGAACTGGTGATTCCTCAGGAATAATTTATGGTCTTTCTCTGAAGAGTTACATCCCCCAAACTGTGTGGATAATGAGAAGGCCCAGCATGAAATAACTCCTTATCTGCTTCAGACGTGTAATGAGGGAATATTTAGACTTGCGGTTTTATCTAGGTAACCATCCTACTTTGGCTTCTTGCTAAAAACTTTCCAAAAAGTGCAAGATGTCCATTTCTGCTATGCAAAAATATACACAATAATCTACAAGGATGCAGTATCAGTGCCCATTTAATATATTTAAGATCTTCTGTGCTTGTTCTATAGGTAAAGGAACAGTAAAGTAACAATATAAACTGTTTTTAATGGTTATAGCAACATGAGTTGGTAATATGCCAAAAACTTTATGTTTTATATAGAATACAGATAGTGCATCAAACAATTTACAAAATTAAAAGAAAATGCTTAATGTAGTTAATTAAAAGCTTAATGAAGTTGTTATGGTGAGTATAATCATTCCCAGCATGATTTTTCAGAGTAAAGGCAGTGTTTACATTACAGTCTAGGAACACCTTTCATGTCCACTCCTCGGACAGCCACGTGAGGTGCTTCCTGGGCCAATGCACAGCGTCTCCAAGCTTTGCACAGAAACGCTGAACTTGACATGCGCATCCATAGGCGTGCGCACAGGGTGTGCCTGTTGTGCCTGGGCACACCCTAATCCCCGCGGCACGCCTATGCATATTGAGACCGGCAGGGGAGATCTCAGGATCTCCCCTGTCGGCTCATGCAGAGCCGGCGCTATCCGAGCGCCGGCTCTGCTCTCAGCCTCCCTCCCCACTGACCCACAGGCAGGGAGGGAGGCAGGAGAGGACCCGGCGGAGCTATTGCCGCAGCTCCGCCGGGTTCCTCTCGCGAGATATGAGCGTTGCCTCGGCAACGCTCAAATCTCGCAAGAGTGAACTCTAGCCCCACAGGGGTTAGAGTTCACTCTCCACTGGACCACCAGGGAAGGAATCAGCAACAAGGATCCCCTCCTCCACTGGACCACCAGGACCACGATCCCCCCTCCCTACAAAAGGTAAGAAGGGAGGGGGGATAGCAATTAATGTACCCCCACCTTCACCCCCCCCAATCACCCACCCACATACAGCACACACACATACAGCACCCACACACATACAGCACCCACACACATACAGTACCCATACACATACAGTACCCATACACATACAGCACACATACAGCACCCACAGACATACACAGCACCCACAGACATACACAGCACCCACAGACATACAGCACCCACACACATACAGCACCCACAGACATACACAGCACCCACAGACATACACAGCACCCACACACATACACAGCACCCACACACATACAGCACCCATACAGCACCCACACACATACAGCACCCATACACAGCACCCACAGACATACACAGCACCCACACACATACAGCACCCACACAAATACAGCACCCACAGACATACACAGCACCCACACACAGCACCCACACACATACAGCACCCACAGACATACACAGCACCCATACACAGCACCCACACACATACAGCACCCACAGACATATACAGGGAGTGCAGAATTATTAGGCAAATGAGTATTTTGACCACATCATCCTCTTTATGCATGTTGTCTTACTCCAAGCTGTATAGGCTCGAAAGCCTACTACCAATTAAGCATATTAGGTGATGTGCATCTCTGTAATGAGAAGGGGTGTGGTCTAATGACATCAACACCCTATATCAGGTGTGCATAATTATTAGGCAACTTCCTTTCCTTTGGCAAAATGGGGCAAAAGAAGGACTTGACAGGCTCAGAAAAGTCAAAAATAGTGAGATATCTTGCAGAGGGATGCAGCACTCTTAAAATTGCAAAGCTTCTGAAGCGTGATCATCAAACAATCAAGCGTTTCATTCAAAATAGTCAACAGGGTCGCAAGAAGCGTGTGGAAAACCAAGGCGCAAAATAACTGCCCATGAACTGAGAAAAGTCAAGCGTGCAGCTGCCACGATGCCACTTGCCACCAGTTTGGCCATATTTCAGAGCTGCAACATCACTGGAGTGCCCAAAAGCACAAGGTGTGCAATACTCAGAGACATGGCCAAGGTAAGAAAGGCTGAAAGACGACCACCACTGAACAAGACACACAAGCTGAAACGTCAAGACTGGGCCAAGAAATATCTCAAGACTGATTTTTCTAAGGTTTTATGGACTGATGAAATGAGAGTGAGTCTTGATGGGCCAGATGGATGGGCCCGTGGCTGGATTGGTAAAGGGCAGAGAGCTCCAGTCCGACTCAGACGCCAGCAAGGTGGAGGTGGAGTACTGGTTTGGGCTGGTATCATCAAAGATGAGCATGTGGGGCCTTTTCGGGTTGAGGATGGAGTCAAGCTCAACTCCCAGTCCTACTGCCAGTTCCTGGAAGACACCTTCTTCAAACAGTGGTATAGGAAGAAGTCTGCATCCTTCAAGAAAAACATGATTTTCATGCAGGACAATGCTCCATCACACGCGTCCAAGTACTCCACAGCGTGGCTGGCAAGAAAGGGTATAAAAGAAGAAAATCTAATGACATGGCCTCCTTGTTCACCTGATCTGAACCCCATTGAGAACCTGTGGTCCATCATCAAATGTGAGATTTACAAGGAGGGAAAACAGTACACCTCTCTGAACAGTGTCTGGGAGGCTGTGGTTGCTGCTGCACGCAATGTTGATGGTGAACAGATCAAAACACTGACAGAATCCATGGATGGCAGGCTTTTGAGTGTCCTTGCAAAGAAAGGTGGCTATATTGGTCACTGATTTGTTTTTGTTTTGTTTTTGAATGTCAGAAATGTATATTTGTGAATGTTGAGATGTTATATTGGTTTCACTGGTAATAATAAATAATTGAAATGGGTATATATTTGTTTTTTGTTAAGTTGCCTAATAATTATGCACAGTAATAGTCACCTGCACACACAGATATCCCCCTAACATAGCTATAACTAAAAACAAACTAAAAACTACTTCCAAAAATATTCAGCTTTGATATTAATGAGTTTTTTGGGTTCATTGAGAACATGGTTGTTGTTCAATAATAAAATTAATCCTCAAAAATACAACTTGCCTAATAATTCTGCACTCCCTGTACAGCACCCATACACAGCACCCACAGACATACACAGCACCCTCACACACAGCACACAAACAGCTCCCTCACACACACACAGCACACTAACAGTACCCTCACAAACACAAACAGGACCCTAACAAACACACACACAGCACACTACCAGTACCCTCACATACAAACAGCACCCTCACACACAGTACATTAACAGCACCCTCACAAGCGCACACACACACAAACAGCACCCTCACACACAGTACATTAACAGCATCCTCACAAGCACGCACACACAAACACCCTCACCCACATAGCACACTACCAGCACCGTCACACACACACATCACACTAACGGCACCCTCACACAGCACACACACACACACAGCAGTGTGTGTATGTGTGTATATATGTGTATGTGTGTGTATATATATATATATATATATATATACATACATACATATATGCGGCGTGTGCTTGTGCTTTAGGGTGCACACCCTAATGCAATAGGCTGCGCACGCCTATGTGCGCATCGTAGTCATTACATCAGGCATATTCCTATACTACCCCATAACCCCATAAAAACAAAGATACAGAAACATTTTTGCTTTTATTTCAGCTTTTATTACTTTTTTAAAAAAATATTACAAACCAGAAATTAAAAAAGGTAATTGTCAAACGCTTAACATCTTATTAAACCCATTAATCTATTTTATACAATATTATGTTCTACAACAGATGGAGAAGCTCCAGAGGCAAACCACTGACAAAGGAACCATAACAAAGCATCCAAATGTACTTTCCCCAGAGCAGACCATCATCCCAAACTTTACTATAAGCTGCCCAAGTGCCAAGGGCCATGAACTCTGGATCAGTCCTCCAAGCATAATGTCCCAAGCCTCCACATTTTGTCCGGACAGGAAAGACCCTCCTCTTGGGCGTCTGGAGCTGCTTTATAAAAAAATCTTGCCCACTGGAAATGAGAGAGTGAATTACCAGTTATGTTAAAAAAAGGAACATGATGCTCCTGAAAAACAATATTAAATGACATACAACACAATACAAAATAACAAAGAAGCTGAACTACAGGAACAGAAGAAATGGACAAATAGCAGCATCCACTACTGACTTGTAGTCCGTAAAGAATGCCACCTTCTTGTCCAGAAATTATTAACTCCCCCACAATGACAATTGTACAACTAGCGGAAACAAATCCAAAAATCTTATCTTAGATAAGCAAGCTCGATGTACGTGTTTCAGGCCACTGTTCCGTGCACTACTGACCTTCAAAATATGCCCCAAAACCAGCACTCCATGAAGCGTCCGTTAACAGTTCCAACTCAGGTGAGGAGACCGCCATTTCCCAAAGGAAAACCCGCCCAATATAATCCCAAAGGAAAGCCCAAATCTTTCATGGGGGCCGTAATCCTACTAAAGTCCTGAGGAGAACTTATCCCACAGGTAGCTTTGGCTAGAAAGCTGCTAAATATACCCCAAACCAGATTCAGCCGACACGCAAAATTCAAACAACCGATTAAGGACTGCAAAGTCAGAACTGCAAAGTCACCTTCCGTGACTCGCGAACATCAGCAACGACTTGACAGAGAGAAGATAACTTGCCTTGAGGCAATCAGCCTCACCTTTCACTGTATTGATCTCAAGTTCCAAAAAGCTAAGACACATAGTTCCATAGTTATATAGCTGAAAAGAGACTTGTGTCCATCAAGTTCAGCCTTCCTCGCATATGTTTTTGCTGTTGATCTAAAAGAAGGCAAAAAAATACCTAGTCTGAAGCGCTTCCAATTATGCAACAAACAAGGAAATAATTCCTTCTTGAC